CACTCACGACCTACAACATATAACATACACGTAGATGTCAAAATTTTGACTGATAAAGGCTACTCCATGTATCATATCAAAACAAAGTTTCAGGGAAAGGGTATGTTAAAATAGTACAATTGGTGACGAACGTAGTCAAGGTAAAAGCCCAACTTTTCAAATGTGACATTAAGTAATTCAGTGGATGTTTCTTTAGTGATACACAACAATCAAGTAGAGACTTGTTTATAACTATCTGTAATTACTAGTATGAATGTTACCTCCAGAACAGTTAGATCATATTAGCACAAAGTGACCTCAATAAATATGTGGCTACTTGAAAACCACTGCTAAAACTAAGAAGCTAATAAGAGCATCAGACTTCAAACAATGAGATAAACAATGCTGGAGGAGAGTACTCTTTATAGATGCATCCAAATTAAACTTGTTTTACAATAATTAACAGAAGTTTGTGCAATGGCAAGGAAGAATAATAACACAATAAACATACAACATTTACGGTGAATCATGCTGAGAGACCAGTATAAGTGTGGGCCATATCTCAGACAATGATGTTAGAATTTTTAAATATATTAGAATCATATGTGAAAAATAATTGTTCAAAGATATTCAGTCCAGTGTTTTTAATTCAGAACAAGTACCAACATATTATAATCCTCTTGTGTCAAACATACATGTATTTATTTATCTCACATTTTCAATTAAGTTAATTCTGGATATCACAATCTACTTAACAATAAGCTACTGCCCTTATACTCACTTTAGTACATAAACAGCTACTTTGTTCACACATAAACACATGCAAGAAGTTTTGTAAAACACTGGTGATGAACTGAACAGTTTTGGAATAATGGCATGGGCAGTAACAAGAAGATAACTGAGACTAATGAAATCCCTGTGTGAATACAAGGAGTCAAAATGATAATGCACAACTGCATCTGCAACATTGTGCCTACTCACTGCATTAATGGTTGCAAGAATTGGCCAGTTGTGACAGTAGAAATATAACACTGTAACTTGCAGAAATTTGATTCCATCATAAAGGAATAAAATGGCTATATTACTAATCATCATGCAATAAAGGGAAATGATTTTCACTGCAAATACATTACAGAAGTTATTACATTTTAATGGAATACAACACATTTGCAGGTTAATATATGTACACATAGTTGAGAAAGAACCCCCCTTGTGCAGTTTTAAAGAAACTTTTTTGTTTTCTTAGAAGTACTTATCTAAACAACAGATGCATCAAGCAACAAATATTATGCTGTTTCCGTCATTAAATCTGTGAAATTTATAAAATTAATTCACTTCTCCTTCAATTTACTGAGCAATGTGTAAACATTATCTTTATTCTTTCAAACTGGATCTTAGTACCATTTCAAGTGGAGAAAATCATTTTGAAAGTAACTAAATTGAAATCTGACATAGGTCATCATTTTTCAGTATTAGGCAACCACTGTTAAAATGGAAGTTTTCAATGAACACAATTCATTGGGGATTTGCAACATTCCCTTAATGCACTTTATGTACAAAAGTATAATACTTGTCTGAAAGATTTAGTTTAATGACTATAGGTTTCCTATTTTCAGATTTTTTTGGCATTTGACTTCACTGGATGCTTCTTCTCAGAATCAACTCTTGAGCCATCTCCTCTTCTGAATTTTTTTTGTCCATCCCCTAAAAATATTTTTATAACCTTCAATCTTATGGGGCTAAAGATCAATCAATGAAAATTCAGAAACCACTTTCCCCGCCTAACTCTGACATGCTCTAATTTACAATTTTCTAATAGATTTTTCTGAAGCCGACTCCCATTAAATTTATAACCAATAGAAAGCTTAGATTTCAACGGATTCATTGCCACAGTCATCATACCAAATGGGCTTACAGATAATAGACAATTTGGTTTGACGTGAAAAAAATGCTCCCACAAGAACACACTGGGAAAAATAGTTGAATTTTTAACTGCTCAAGTCACTTGATTAGAGATGCTCGAGTACTGGTACTGGCAGTTCCTGGTACCACCAGTACTACTGCAAACCCAGATAAACACAGATATCAGTAGAATATATGTGGTTCCAATTTTCTGGATCTCTTCTGGGTCAGATCCACATGTCAAGATATTGAATGTCCTTAAAGCGAAATTATATGTTCTCTTAGAATATCACATCAAGGGAGGTACATATATAATGTGGGAAATGGTAATTTAAGAAAATGAACTTTAACTATATATAATCAAGTAATTCATTCAATTTTTTGATGTTTCTTAAAATAATAATCTCAAATAGTGAAAACAATAATCTCCGACTAGAGCTTAAACCCAGATATGTCAGCTCAAACTAGTGTTCTAAGGTTAGGATATCAGGACATCAAGTTCCAAGATGTCTCTCCACTTGGTTTCTTACATTAACATAATTAGTTTTTTTTATAAAATATTTATTGATTTTGAATTTTTAAGGTGAATTTTTTACATTCTGAA